TTGTTATCTACGAAGATGCTTTAGGCGTTTCTAATTCTAACCTATTGTATAAGTTCAAAGTACACAATGTTTCATAAATTAATGATGAGAAGATTTTTATTTTTTCAAATAGAAATGTGTAAATAATTTTATTTAGATTAACTGCTCAGCAATACAATTAAAGGGAAAATATCAATCAATTGTATTTTCTGTTTTGGTAAGTTTAAAATGTATGTTAAAATACAATATTTAAAATCATTAACAAACGCAAAAATTTACAGATGTAAAAAATAGATGAATAGAGAAAAAGGTTTTGGAGTGAATGCATTTAGACATAATTTGTATATTTTTTCCTTTCTAGTATATTAATGAAATCTAAAGATAGATGCTAGGCATTAAGTTTTTAGTTTATAAATACCTTTTATATAAATAGTTCTTTCCTTAATATACGTAAATCTTAATAAATTTGAAATGTTATTAATATAATATTTTATCAAGAAAGAATTAAGTATATGTTTATGGAGAGTAAACCCATTTTTCATAGTCAGTAAAGATTTAAATGTATTTTTAATCACGTTACAACTTGTACTTCTTATAATTATTATAATTTTAATTTTAAGTTATTTTTGCTTTTTAAAATAAAAAAGCGTTAGTATTTAATTATTAATATTAGATAAATATACACAAATATTATAAATAACTTTAATTGTAAATTTTAAGGAAGAAAACGAGGTAAAGTATTTTAACTATATTAAAAGTTATATTATTCTAATAGTAGTGATCTTATATTAATAGGAATAAAATATATATATTTAATTATTCTGTATTCTAAGTTTGCTGTACTGAATAATTCTTATTATACTACATTTTTCTATATCAGAATAACCATTATTAAAATAATATATTAAGTTTTATTAGTCTATAGTTAAAATACTTCCTCTCATTTTCTTCCTTACAATTTACAATCATTTATAATATTTATAATTTAACTTTGAAAATATAAAAATATAATTTACTTGTAATAAGGATTTGATAAATAGAAAATTATATGAAGATCAGATATTTTTAACAAATAAAATCTGTATATACAGAGTGAACCAAAAGTACGTGGAAGAGGATTTGTGTTAAGGTTATTCTATAACAATTGTGTATATTTAACTTGGTTATGATTATGGTTGAAAAATTACATTAGAGATGCATTTCAAGAAATTAATACACAAACATACTTGTGCAAAAATGTTTATCGAAGCATGAAATGGTGAAATATAGACTTCAAAGTTGTGTACATTGTGATGAACAGCAGTTTCAGCACATGCCTTGATAAAATTGTATTGTATTGTATTAGTAAATATAATTGTACAGTCGACCCCCTATAACGCGGTAGATACGTTCCGCTTTATAAGAATTTCGCGTTGTAGGAATCCTCAAATACATGAGCCAATCACAGCCCGGCACGTGTGCAGTTTACGGACTACGGCTGTTTGAAAGGTTTTCTTCCATAAATTTAATCGATTCTAGACTAATTTCACTCAACATTTCCAAAACACGTATAATTTTTTGGGAATAATCTGTATAAAATATGCTATAAACAAAAAATTGTAGGATTACTTACCGAGTGTGCACCGTTCGACCATGCCATTGCTTAAGCTTGTTTTCGTCGCGGAGCAGCGAACCAAAGGGCGGCCGCGTTTTCTGATAAGTTATTTTTCTGCGAAAAATTCATTGAACTTTGGAGACATCATTAATAGAAATAATTTTTATGGCCTTTGAATAATAAATGTTTTTTTCACAAGAAATGTATAAAATTACAGTACTGTATTAGACTTACAGTACCTAATTTAGGCTTATATACTGTACAGACTATAGTAAACTCAACTTACCCGCCTAAACTCTCCGTAGCGTGTAAGTAGTTCGGCTGCTCGTCTACTGTCGGTCCAGATTCGACCAATCCTGTCCCGACACGAGTCGGCGATGACGTTTTACCGCATTTTACGAGTCTCTTTTAGCGTCTTTATACGAAACGGTCGCAATTTTTTTGCCGCAATATACGAACCCGCATTATATGAATCCGCGTTATAGGGGTCTACTATATATGTAATGTGAATAAAAATTATCATTTACTGTCCATCTATTTTTGGTTTACTCTGTATATAGAAAAGAGAAAGGAAATTAAAAATATATGTCAATACTCCTTTATAATAGGTATAATGTATTATATTTGTACGAAAGCATGAAAAAGATTAATGTTATAAATTTTATAATTGTTAATAGATAATATGTCAGAGAATATATTTTCATAATACTACATTTATTATTAATAAAAAGCATTTATTGTTATTTATATGTACTGTACTTGTTATATATAAGCTTGAATAAAGATTATTTGTAACAATTGATTTTAAACTTTGTAAACAAGTCGAGATACACAGCTTCGCTCGGAAAAATAAGGTATTAAGTAAAATACTCATTTAAAAAGTATTTTATTTATGTTGTGACATGTAAAAACTTAACACTTAACTGATTCGGTGGAAAATTTTTACACTTACAATTAAACTCATAATTCTATCACAGCTTATAAAATAGTCTACTGAAACAATTCAATCTTCACTTTAGGCTATCCTCAATATATGTACAAAATTTTATAGAAATCGATTCAATCGTTCTCACGCAATACTCGAATTATAAATGTATCATGAAATTAGTTAATTTTTATTGCATAACAAGATGTAATTAATTATTTTAAGCATTCCTAACTTCATAAAATATTCATTTAAATTATAAATTTGAAAAATTATTTAACCATGTATTATTATTTTTAATTCATTATGTTACTATATCATAGTTAATAAATCATATGAAAATCACATATGGAATTAATTATAGATTAAGAAATAAATATAAACTTACTAAATATATATACTGTATATTAAAAGAATTGTACCGAAATGTTAGATATTTCTCATTTGATAATTGAAGTATATGAGATTTATTTTTGTTTTCCTATATAATTAACGCAATTGAATATTGCTCTATTTTGACAAAATTACTGATGGCCTATAAAGTAACGCGTATAGTATAGATGTTGGGTTTTCATTACGTACAAAATTTATATTTTGTACTTAATGCTAGAAATATGATTCAAAAGATTATTAAAGTAGCAGTGGCGTACCGTAGGGGGGCGGTAGGGGCGGTCCGCCCCGGGCGGCACTTTTTAGGGAGCGGCAAAATTTCACAATAAATAATAATAGTAATATCTTGTAAAATTTTGGAACATCCTAATCTATACTTGCATCGCGCCTCCGATAGTGCTATAGTCCGGACAGTCCGGGAATCGGCTCTTCAGGTGAACTAGTAACCTTTTCATCCGAGGATAACTTTTTCAACTTTTTTTTTTTTTTTTGCTTGTACGATTCATTCGCGTTCATATACACCACTAATATCCAATAGAACTATTTTAAACAGGTCGCTGCACTACCACCGAATTTTTTATTGCTTGTTCTGTGACAAAACTGAATTTTGGTCTTTTAAATTGAAATACCTAAATAAGGGGGGGGGGCCGAAATTTTCCTCCGCCCTGAGCGGCTGACACCCACGGTACGCCACTGTAAAGTAGATTGGGGTATTCTCAAATAAGTTACAGGTGATTATAGTTAAAGAGTTTGTTGCGTGCAGCTCCAAAAGTGCTTATGGTGACAAATTATGGATGGTACTAAATTTTTACTAAAATGTCCTTCTCACGTCCTAAATTTTTTCTCTATATAAATTTCAAGAAGAAATGTTTTAACTAGTTAAGCCATGGTATAAAAAGAGATTAAAATGAGAATTCAATTTAAAAATTTTATAAGAGAAATATAATATCTTATTTCGATTTACTGATAAAGGAAATATTTCATCTTATAAAATCTAACATTATTAAGCTTTATATACAATAAAAGAGATCATTTCTAAAATTTATTTTTATTATCATAAATAGGTCATCACACAGAAGAAAAAGGAAAAACCAAAAAAAAAAAAAAAAAAATACGTAAAAAATCGTGAACTGCCTAAGGCATGTGAAAATAATAACTATTATAGTGGATATTTAATAGAGTAAATTTAATTGCGATAAGTCCTCACACGTATACGTAATTCGAAATTATTATATCAATATATGTAAGTGTTGATTATTTAGGCAAATATTTACTAATAAATATGGATTGTGTTAATATTTAATGTATTTGACCCGCATTTATTAGTAAATACTCCCAGATACAGTATTACTGCTAAACTGTTATCAAATTAAGTATTACTAAAACAATATTTATTTCAAGTATATGAAAATTAATTTCTATAAATTAATATATTTGAAATCTTCTGAATTTGTAAATAATTTTTACTATAAGAATATTTTAACTTTATGATTTTAAAATATTTTATTCAATTTATAATAGTAAATGATATTAATTTGTACTTATTGTAAATAACTAGATTTTAGGCAGTGTAAAAACTAGTCTTACTCCTGTAATACTTTTCCGGTTTATTCCTCTATTGTTTTAAATTTCGTAAATTAATGTGTTGATATTTACATTGAAATGGCAATAAAACCCGATATTTCTACTATTAAGAAATGCTATTCTCAAAAAGCAAACTGAAATGAAATTGTTTCAAATTAATATGATTGAGTTAAATCAGAAATGAATCAAAACTAAAATGAAAAATAATATATAAAATCGTGTATTTACTTTGCCTTTGAAAGATATTTGAGTGGAGGTTTATTGAATTACCTAATTCAATAAGGTTAATGTTCATTTAAATTTACCTAACCTTATTTAAAATAAATGCATAATTTAATTAATAACAATGTTTACAATTAAATAAATTGATCTATGCATGCTTGACGGCAGTTTCTGTACCTGTAGGGTATACAGGTATGTTTTTGTAGATTAAAATTTATATATTTTATATAAATTTATATAATATATATAGTTTTTGATATTTCTTTACTTTTATGTTTAAAAAATTTCTGCAAATAAATTTGCAATGAGTCATCTAATTCAGTAATGTGATAAGTCGGAATATTCGATTATATAACGTTAGTACAGACCTATATGACATAATGATTACGCTAAGTTCGTATAGAGTAGACATTTCTACAGAAATGTTAGGTCATTACGTCGTGATGCATTAGTTAACCTAAAATGATATTAGTTTATCGGCTTCCGGGAGCCCAACCCTTAATCTTTGAACTGTTCCAGATGTAATCAGTTAATTGTTTAACGATTTTAATCGAACTTTCTTATTACACTCTAATAAAAATGTTGGATATAAACTTAATTAATAACAGTATTCTATATGCTAAAATTTTAATCTACAAAAACATACTGCCGTCAAGCATGCATAGATCAATCGTTTACAAATTACTACCGTTTTATCTTAGATGTACAGTAAACGAAACACAACAAAGTATGAAAACTTCATTCAATCACTACGTTTTATATTCGTAATTATTTTGTTATGGAAAGTCGTGATATCAATAATCGTTCCGACATCAAAAGCAAAAATAGTGATTCAAGAATTTCATTATATATAGTTCTGGTATCGGTGCCAATGTAATTTTTAATAAAACAATATTTTGGTTTTCAAACGCACACTTAGTAGTGCATTCATTGCCGATCACAATTCCTTTCACTGTCGCTTTAAAATGTAAATAATATGATAATAATTCCTTCAAATTGTTTATGATTGTGCAATTATAAACAGTTCATGTATAAAATGAGGGAAAGTATTTTAATTATAACAAAACTTAATATATTGTCTTAATAGTGGTTTTTCTTATATCATAGAAAATATATAGTATGATAAAAATTATTCAGAATAGAAAAATTAGAATAAAGAATAATTAAATATTCATTTTTTATTCCTATCAATATAAGATAAGCCACTATTAGGATCATATAACTTAACAATTGAATCCAAACTTCTTTTCTTGTTGAATTTCATCTTCCTACGTTATGCTTATCTTCTTGGGATGTGTTTCTCACAGTTGAATGAGCCATAACCACCTCAAAAAGCGAATTCCTTAAACTATGGACACGAGTATAGTTTTTGTATTGTATTGGTTTATAATGTGACTTTTGAAAAAGCCATAGTCGTAAACGAAGCTATATGATAATGTGAGAATACGACGGCATAGAGTCGACACCCTACTTGCCTCTTACACGTCGAGTTGGTAAAGCTTGCCCACTTTGTCTTTTGGATGGCATTTTATCGAGGGGAGAGGGGGTGAGAAAGTCGACAGGTGGCTGTGGTTCGGAGTGACAGGAGACAGGTTTAACAAATAATAAAATAAAGGTTTATTATACAGCTAACACTAAAATACAGGAGGCTACACAGAGTTAAATGTATATATCTCTAGGTTATATAGGCTAGATGCAATTAACATAAAATTACAAAGTCTACGATTGACAACTGCTTAGTCTACTCTATGACAGCTATGCCTACTTCCGTTACGAGAGGGAGAGAGAGTTCGCAGTCCGCTAATAATTACCTCTAAAGTGCTATATGCGGTAATAACAGTTCTTTATGGAAGCGTTGGACGTTGTCGATGTCTTCTACCGGTGTCTCCTCCGAGGACTAGGTCGAGTCCGTTGCATGGAGATGAGGGAGACGGAGATCCCAAATATAACTTCCGTGTGCGAACTCTCGAGCTTCCGGTGGCTCGCACCTTTTATATGATTGTCGTGGGAAATCTAACACGCGATCGACCTTTGTTGACGATGATGGTGCAATCTCGACAGCCACTTGTCAACTCTCCCATTGACTTGTTACTACAACCGGTGACCTCTGGTCTAATTTTCCCCCTCTCCGTTTTTTTATAACGAAGATGTTTACATTTTGAAAACAATTAACACTAATTTTTTTTATTTTAAGAGCCCCGTAAAAATCCGCGGGCTCACAATAATATCGCACAGACTTACAGCATATAGCCTTGACTTTCATATATTGTCGCAATACAGAAGGCAATGATTGCGGTAAATGAAAATGTCATCTACAGAAATATTTGTTTTTTTTTTAATGTTCCAAACAATACCGTAACTTCTTAGTAAATATTTAAAATCATCATTGTAAATTTATCATCACTACTTTCAAAAACGAATCTTAATATCAAAATGCTTATAGGCTAACATTTTAATATTTTGGTTGCTTGAAATCAATATATTTATTTATTCATTGTATTATATATACTATTTTACAACATTATCGCGTAACACATAATTATCAAAATTAATTTTTACTATTTAAAATGCGTAAGAATATTAACTTTTGTAAAAAATATTTTTATTGTTTAAATATGAGTTTAATTTATTTTATTTATATTTAAAGTGGGAGGTGGATCAGCGGGAGCAGTTCTAGCTAACAGATTATCTGCAAATGTGAAAAATAAAGTATTGTTATTAGAAGCTGGAAATAATGAAAATATTATTACCGATATACCTTTACACGCTATTGGTTATCAGAAAACAGATATTGATTGGCAATACTTAACAGAACCACAGAAATATGCATGTCACGGTTTCGAAGATAAAGTAAGTTTAATATTTACAACTTATTAACGAACTTTCAATGTATTTACTGTATATTAATCATTAAAAATATCAATATTTCATATCATAATTGCAAACTTTTTACATATAATTCCAAACAAAATCTATAATTTTATCTACTAAAATATTTCTAAATATGATAACTACAGTATTTAAAATCATGATAAATAATAGTAACAATAGTGATTAGCAATTAATGCTAATGATCCATTTTATATTAAATTAAAATTATTTGTAATTTATAATTAAGATCTCGAGATGGCCAAGAGGAAAGATTCTAGGAGGTACAAGTGTCTTAAATTATATGTTATATGTTAGAGGAAATCATCGAGATTATGATAATTGGGCTCGACAAGGTGCTTACGGATGGAGTTGGAAGGAAGTATTTCCGTATTTTCTTAAATCTGAAGATAATACGGATATCAAGATTTTAAAAAATGGTAATTATTAGAGTTTTAATGAATACTTACTTAAATAAATAAAGATATTTATTAGAAATTGATTTTTTAATATATTAAAACGTTAATAAGCATTTATAGTGAATCGTAATTAAAGGCGTCAGGAACTCCGAATCGGACCCTGACGGTTGAAGAACCCTAGCAAATTTTCAGGGTATTGTTTGATCCAGAAATGTCGGTTTTGTTTATTACCACACGATCGCTTCATTGTGGGCCTGGCCAAGGTCATCTAGATTATATAGAATATAGTACCGGAAATTCTCATTAGTTCGATCGAAATAATCGCGACTTCGAATTATCGAGTTTCGAATTTTACGAGATTTACATATTTCTGTACAATATGCCAAATGTCACGTAATTTGTGTAATTTATTAAGGAAACGGAATCATGCTACTTACATAGAATGCCATTTTCGTTAATTAATAATTAATAATAATAATATGAATAAACTGAAGGTAAACAGCACGTGTCCGGTGAGAACCTCACAAGTTGCCAGATAGATTTTATAAAATGTAAAGCAGAATTTTCGAAATGTCCAAATTATTTTTAAAGTGGCCCAAAACGTAAGCTGCATAAATGTAGCAAAAAACACTTACTACAACACCTTTTCTTGCAGTCGACGTTTATTAGAAAACTTTCAAACGTTTTCGGTCTTATTAAAAGACCTTTCTCAAGAAAATAAGATTAAATAAAGAACAAACATTGTAAATCGAACACTTAATACAAATAACTCTTTTTTGAATCTTTCGAACTGGCTTATAATCCGAATGGGACCAAGCAAGACTAATGCAGATAGTCCGAGACAGGAAACACCGACATTACGCGGAAGCCTGGCAGATCTGTAAGGCAAAGCATAAAGGCCTCGCAATCAACTTCCGGGAAGCGACTAAAATATCAGCAGCATGGTCCTCTAGCTTATTATAATATTAATAATTGAAGGAAGTAGTCACTATGTATCTCAGATTACGTACTTTTGAATAATGTAGGGAGATGGCAACTATACATATTTAGATTTAAATATTTATGTAATATTTTTTATATTTCCGTTGCTAAGTTTACACTAACGTCATTCGCAACGGATTATAAGCCAGTTCGAAAGATTCAAAAAAGAGTTATTTGTATTAAGTGTTCGATTTACAATGTTTGTTCTTTATTTAATCTTATTTTCTTGAGAAAGGTCTTTTAATAAGACCGAAAACGTTTGAAAGTTTTCTAATAAACGTCGACTGCAAGAAAAGGTGTTGTAGTAAGTGTTTTTTGATATTAAAATATGCAGTCTAGAACGATGTGCATAAATGTAGTAGCCTAGAGCCTACAGATATCTCAATCTAGCACTTGCAGATCAATCTTGCAATTCCAAAAATAAGACGCATGAGATAAGATAAAAAAACGTAGTCTGTGTGTAAGGTGCCTCCCGAAAATGTGTAAGGCCGAGACTCCACTACCGTAAAAACGGCGTAAAAACCTCTCGCCGTAAAGCTTTTAATCGCGTGACCCTGATACTTTACGCTTGAGCAGGTCGTAAAACCAGCGTAAAAGCGAATTGAGCAGTGTTCAACTTTGGACGCGAATACCGCCTTAAAACGGTACCAATCAGAAGTCAGTTAAATCTAGGTCATTGTGAAGCGGTGCAAAAATGGCGAAAAACGAGCTTTTGTATACGTTTCCTCGTGGCTACTCTAGAATAGATCCGGAAAGATTTATTGAAAACATCCGAAAATGTTCGTGTATCTACGACAAGAAGTATCCCGATTATAATAATGGATGTCTAAATCACGCGATACTGACGGCCAAAGGAAAATCCTTCAATTTAGAGGAGTATATAATGAAAAAAAAAGCTTAATAAGTGCTGTATATTATCTTAATTAATAATACGATAATAAAAGTTAATATATGAAAGTAAAGATATTATTTTTACTACATTTGTAATTATAGTACAGAAAAAAACTTGTAGAATATAATCATTGTCTTTATAACTTCGATAGTACCGTCGCCGTAAAAACTTCGCTAGCTGGACCTCCACCGCAATTCAGACGCAAACGCAAATAGGTCACGTAATTAAAAGTTTTTACGGCAAAGGTTTTTACGCCCGTTTTTACGCTAGTGGAGTCTTGGCTTTACTGTAAAAGCAAAGCCATATTGACCAGATTAGAATTATTCTTTGTGTATTGTTCTCTTATAGCACGGAGGTACTTTGATCTAAATCAGGGCTTCTTAAACTATGGGTCGCGACCCCATTTGGGGTCGCTTAGCGAAATCTTGGGATCGCGAGATTTTAATGCAAAATATTTAAAATAATTTGTGACAGTTTGAAAATGGCACACTTTGTCTCATAGGTTTCGTGAGTTGCGCTTTGTGTCACTTCTGGTGCAGCGAGACAACGATTCAGTAACACTGTAGTGTGAACTAGTGTAGTGTTGTCGCTTTTCAGTGTATTCAGTTGTCTCTGTTCCATTGTAACACAAGAGTGAACTGTGGTAGTACACCATTATTGTTTTTGCAAATTTGTATATATCTTTATTTTATATTTTTTTGGGGTCGCGAAATAAATAAAAATCATAAATGGGGTCGTGAATAAAAAAAGTTTAAGAAGCCCTGATCTAAATGAACCAGTTAACGTAGTATATCACAGTTCGAACAGAATATTCAATTCGAATTTAAAATTTAGCCTTGTTTCGAACTAACCGAATTCTTTAACGTGTAAATCTCTATATCCCCAGCCGGGGGAAAAGTACAGTTACGAACTAAAGGAATTTCGAGCTATTCAAGTTCGAATTAACAAGGATTTCCTGTACTAATTCCGCAACGTTATACTTTTAGTTTAACTGGTACTGCATTTACAATTTTTTCGAGAAATATATGTCTTATAACAATACAACATATAATATTTTACTGTAAGTCTGAATATACTTAACATGATATATATAACAATATATAGATACATATAATGTTCAATAAATTTATATTGCATCAATTATAACTATTTAAATAGGTGTTATAAAAAATTCTGAGTTTGTGCTTATAATTTTAATAAAAATTTAAATCAAATAAATAAAACACTTTTAGTTAGAAAATATATAACATGTTTCATTATTTACAAAGCTGTTTCTAGTCAGTATTAAATTTACTTTTTAAATATAGTTTACTTTCTAACTTATTTCCTTTCTTTTCAATTATCATTTCTAATTTTGTAACAATTTATAATTAATAGAAATATACTATAATAAACCCATTTCAAATGATATTGTAATCCAATCTGCATGAAGTTTCTAACACATTTTTCTAAATCTCGAAAATTAATCTTATCTGCTGATAACCAATTTTAATACCGTTTTCTTCTCTTTCGAGAAATTCAGCTGATCTTTCTTGTGGAATGATTCTTTTTACTGGAAGAATAGTAGATAAGTAAGATGTCTCATTCGGAAATTTAGTAGAAAATGCGTTTTTTGTTAGACTAGGATGTTTACGTAAAACAGTAAAAACAGTACTATCATCACGTATTTCATCATTTTCTCTAACGATAAATGCTACAAAAATGATGTATGAAACTACAGAATTACTGCTTGGTTCAAAATCTTTTCTATGAATTGCTTTAATCCATTGTTTACATTTAACGGCATATTCGGGAAAGCTGAAAACATTAGTGTATTCTTTCTGTGTATCATAATTACATGTACTGTACAACCATGTGCAGAATATTTTCAAGGTATCTAAAATTAAAGAGAGTGATTTAAATTGCTATTTATAGATATACGTAAAAAATTCTGAGAAAGAATAAATTTTTAGCTTTAAATACATAAAATATATAATATCTCGGTACAGTATATATGTATGTTATTCTGGAAGTTTTCTTCGTTTAAAAAATGGTAATATTAGTTTAAGTGTAATGTATCTAAATTGTCTCTATTGTACTGTATTTCTATTATAGATGTATTTAAAGCAATCAATCACATTTCTATACATAATATATACATAGATTTATGAATGTATTTTTACCATTATTTTTTGTTTGACTTATGATATTATTCTTGAAACATACTAATGTATTTGTTTTTATTTATAAAATATTTTTAAATACAAATTTATATTATCATATAGTCAAAATACATAAAATATGACTTAGTCATATTGTTTAAATTTTTAGAATAATTTAAACGAGTTTAATGCTATGTATTGATCATTTTCATGTACTGTATGTAGTGCACAGTACATAAGTTTACATCTAAAAAATGATAAGTCTATAAAGTTCTAAATTCTTGTTTTATTTAAAAATTATTTATTCAACTAGGAAAAAATTCACAATAATCAAAGTTCATTAAATTATCAGTGTGTGAATTTTTCGAAAGTCATTTGTATTGCACAAATTCAGTTGTTTTATAAATAATTTTTTACAATTAGATGTAATAAAAAATTAATTTAAAGTGTAATTAAAGCATAAAATCTTTTTGAAAGAGTGGATGGACATATTTTCAAAATGATTCAAAAATGTTTGTATAAAACAGATACCTAAAGGGACTCTTAATACCAGACATGTTAATATGTGTTTGCCATCAGCGGGTGGAACATGTGCATCCAATAAAATGCACTCACATAGATCTTATTATTATTATTATAACAGTTAAAATTTTTCTTTTTTATTAACATGATTTTACAACTGTGCTGCCACCAGATGAATTTTTGACATATTTTTCGTATATTGAAGCGGGCGAGACACTTCAAATAAAGGTCTACTCTGTGATAGCCTTTCGTAGACTACATTTTCCGTTTTCAAGGTTAAAATAAACCGGCAACGAGCTGCTTAATTTTACATTTAAAAATTTGCTGACGCCATCTGTTATATTTTATTTTTAAAAATTTTTTAATTTTAATTATTAGAAAATGGCAAAACGCTTAATTATGAGGATGTGGATGGGTTTTATAAAAAAATTTAAATGCTAATAACTAGTAAAATCTTCAGTAAGTCCGATTTTACTGGAGACACACACGACTGCACTATATCCCCACCCCATCGATCTTTAATCATCAAAATTTAAAATCCTCAATCTCCTTAACAAGTAAACCTTCCTGCAAAATTTCAGAAATTTTCAACGAAAAGCACAGGAGTTATTAAGCTTAAAACAGGGTAATCGAAATTATATCCCCCCACACAGCAATTACCTAAATTGTTTTGCATTTCTAGACGTTTCGAGGTGTCTTAAGTCGAAAATGTAAAAACCCTGGGGTGGGTCATTTTTTTGCCGGATCGCCATACTTTCCCTCTGTTATAACAGCCGGGAAAGTAAATAAATAAATAAAAGTTCTGAAGATAGTTACTCTATTTCAGTGTATCTTCTGAAATTTAATTACTTTACCTATTTATGCAAATTTTTACGTTTTCTGTAGATGGATACATTTAGAAAGAGATAAGTTACATATAAATAAATTGATTTATTCTTTTTCTTTTCTGAAAAGTGACAAGTTTCATAAGACGTAACACAAAGCGTACATAAAACTATAATATTAATATTGTGCTCTAATAATAAAATATTTCTATATAAAAAATAAAAGTTGTCAAAATTCAGTTTGTAAATTACTTTAATTTTTTTCTAATAAAAGTTAAAATAATTTATTTATTATTATCGACTTCAAAAGTTTTTTAGTATTTAAATACAAATAGGCCTATATAAAATTTTATATGAAAATTATTATAAACATTTAAAAATTTTTAATAGCTATATCAATGCTAGAGTATTGTTACATTTTAAGTACACATTAAATTAAAATGGTGCTTATATTTCAGGATATCATAAAACTGGTGGTTATTTGACAGTTTCTTCTCCAGTATACATTACTCCTTTAATGAAATCGTTCCTTCAAGCGGGTGTATTCGCCGGATACCCCATCAGCGACTTTAATGGTGCCTTTCAATCAAGTAAGATATTATTAAATATAACAAAGCAGTAAGGATATCTTTTTATAAATATAGTCATTCTTTGACTTATGACTAAATTATGACAATCAGCCTTATTTATTGTGAGAAAAACTAGTGATGTATATTAAAAAACATAGCCTATATATTTTCAAGTCTATACAAAAAATTTCTTCGGTATAATTTATGGTGTATTAGAATCTTGAAACTTACATGAATATTTCTGTTAAGTTAATAATAATATCTGAATTAATATGGCTAGTACACTAAACAGTAAGTAATTTTTTGATTATATTGTAATATACAGTGTTGTAGATTTGCGATGTTATATAATCTTATGCGCGGTCTTATTATCTTTTTATGTTCTAGTTCAGTATCACACTCAGGATTTAATCTTAGGCCAAGTTAAACGGATAACAAAATTTTAATGAAAATTTAATAAAATTCTTACCTTAAGTGACCGATAATTCATAAGTAGTAGAGAAATAGAAGGCGCAACACAATATAAATAAAAACATGAATTTTAATTAGGAAAAGATTTTTGGAAAATTTTCTACTGTTTGTTTTTCCTTTCTTGGAAAGTACAAGAGCCATTTGGCTCTCCTTTGAGTGCACCACTGTTCTAGTTATGACGATTTACCTGTAACGGGACTCGATCGTATCTCGGAGACTAGTTGTAATTTTCCTAACTAAAATATTTAATATAAAGAAATTGCTTTTTGCCCTTAGTACAATTAAATTAATTAAAACCGTGCTACCGTGTAACATTATGAAGCCTCCTTTAGTCTATCTTCTCTACATCCATTTATTGTTCAATGATCATACCTTTATAACGGTTCCTTTGTCTTGTATAATTTTAAGTATTATAGCCCCGTTTTATATGTATACTAATTGAAGAGGATCTATTCCGATAGTCCGAAATGCATTTTGGTTATTTTAATGTTAATTGCTCATGTAATCGATTCTAATGTACACCTCTTTTCGTTTTTATTAAATGTACTCCATTGATACCTGGGTGTTTGTGCTTATTACTACTAAAGTGATAAGTCCTTATTATCTACCTCACATCAGTAGAATTTTAATTAATAGAATATTTAAATTAAATTTTTAAACTCATGATTTAAAAATTAATTTATTTTTATTTTCAATAAATAAAAATTTACGTTGAAATAGGTTTTACTTTTCCTCAGTCAACTATTAGATTTGGTCGAAGATGCAGTTCAAATAAAGCATTTATAGCACCAGTGAGACATCGTCCTAATCTAAAAATTTTGCTCTTTTCATTTGTTACTAAAGTAAGTAAAATAATTAATAAATCCTTTGTTAAGTTTAAAATCAAACTATACTGTTTTATTTAATCTAGTAGATAACATATTTTATGTTTGCAGACATATAATATTAAACGGCAATAATTCTGTACGGCTTCTATTCTACTTTATATGTTGTAAAATTCATAAAAATTGGAAATACAATTTCATGTTTAAAATATTACAGTAGAACCTCGATTATCCGCCCTAATTGGGGACTGGGGTTGGTCGGATAATTGAAAAGTCGGATAACCGAAAAGTATGAAAAAATCCATTACAGTAGAGCCTCGATTATCCGACCCAATTGGGGACTGGGGTTGGTCGGATAATTGAAAAGTCGGATAACCGAAAAGTATGAAAAAATCCATTATTAGTATAGTATATTATTATATCCCATGTAATTAGTATATTAGTATATCGCTATTTACCGTTGAATTTTCATCATGTTAAGCCTAACAAAAATTTTTTAAAATAATAATCGTCTCTATTGTAGCGCCACATCACTAGCGGACATTTGAAATTTGCCGACTAGGACGGTCGATTAACCGAGGGGTCGGTTGATCGGGGGGCGGATAATCGAGGTTCTACTGTACTTTATTATATTTCTAGCTGTCTTAAAAGAAATTTATTATTTCAGATTATTTTTGATCATTACAAAAGAGCCAGAGCTGTTCATTTTGAGCGCTTTAATAAAAAATATACTGTATATGCTAGAAAAGAAATAATATTATCTGCAGGAGTTGTCAACTCTCCTCATCTTCTGATGTTGTCAGGTGTTGGACCTAAAGCAGATTTAGAAAAATTTGGAGTAAGAATGTTAGTTAGCATTACAATAAAATTTTATTATGTATTCAATAGTAAATTTATTATCTTTAGATTCCAGTCATTTCCAATTTAGCTGTTGGATATAATCTTCAAGATCATATTCTTACTTATGGTGGGGAATTTTTAATTGATAAGCCTATCACACACGTCCTATATCGTCAATTTAGCCCAACTGATATATCCAAATACTTTAAACTGGGTAAAGGTAAGTTGACAACGTTTTCCACAAATATATGTAGATTTTAGTAATTTTTTTAAAAACATGAATTAATTTCGAAGGACTGTGGACTATACCTGGAGGAATAGAAGCTGTTGCTTATGTAAATACCATATATGCAAATAAATCGATTGATTTCCCTGATATCGAATTAAATTTATTCTCTGCTTCGTTATCATCAGACGGAGGAAAATTTTATAGACCAGCACTTGGGCTAAGTGATGAAGTCTGTTATATTTATAAAACTATTAGAATAGAATTAAGGATTGCAACTTCGGGATTTTGGAATTGGGGTTAGAATATGGTGAATTATTGAAATAAAAGATAGCGGTCCTGATCCAGTTATTAGGATAACTATTTAAATTTATTTAAACTGTGTTGTGCTTAGTTATGTGTGAATTTTTCTGGAGTCACTATGGCGACCTTTGGTTTACTTACTAGACAGAGTAAGCTGGCTGTCACGATAAATTAGAAATTTAAGAATTTTCAGTTTTGAAACTGGTAAAAAGTTCATTAAGTCAACAAAAATGTACAAGTCATTAATAAAATGTTAAGTCAATCGTGTTCCCATCATGATACAGAAATAAAGAAAACCACAGTTTTTTAATCACAGGATTGAATAATCCTTCCGGAATTGCGATCTTTAAAAAAATTATATATATATTATATTATATATATTTATATCAATAAAAACTCCAACATCTATGTAGGTATGGAAGCAATACTTTAAGCCATTTGCTTATAAAGAAACATTTTCTATAATACCTATACTACTTCACCCTAAAAGTCGTGGATACATAAAATTAAGAAGCGCTAATCCTCATGATCATCCGATTATACAGCCAAATTATTTATCACATCCTGAAGATTTTCTAGTTCTTGTCGAAGGTGAGAAATATATTTTTTTCGACACCAAAAGAAAATGTATTTTTTTATTATGTATATACGTAATGATGTATTTTTAGGTCTGAAAAAAAGTCTAAAATTAGGCGGGTCCACTGCATTTAAAAAATATGGAACTCGGCCGTTTTTTACAAGAGTACCTGGATGCGAAAAATATATAAGATTCAGTGATGAAGAACTGCACTGTATTGTAAAAACTTTAAGTACGACTGCGTATCATCCTGTCGGAACGTGTAAAATGGGTGCCTTTGAAGATCCAACTACTGTTGTGGATCCTCAACTAAAGTACGCATTTCATATTATGTAAACTATATTTTAATATAAATTTTAAATAGCCAGATATGTTCTGTAAATTACGAAGTCACACTGAGTTTGAATGTTTTTATTTATACTGAAAGAAAAACTGTAAGAAACATCTACAATTATCCTTGGAGTTTAAATAGTTATTCAGCCATCAGCTATGGCTTCCTAATTTAGAGAACGTATCTGTCTGCTAAGAATTTACATGTACAAATCTTACTATAATTAATATTACTATCATTAATAGATATATCTAACATCATATACTTTAAATAACACTAATCGTATAATTTTCTTTTTTGTTTGTATTACGTAAATTAATTCTTTATTATAAAGATATATTAAACCAAAAATATATTAAATAAAAATTATTTTTATGTTTAGAGTGAAAGGAGTATCGAGGTTAAGAGTCGTCGATGCATCAGTCATGCCAACTATTATCTCGGGGAATACCAATGCACCAACAATTATGATCGCAGAAAAGGCAGCTGATATGATACTTGGAAGCAATTATTTATAACATATTTTATCTGTACTTACAATAACTAGTTACTATTTAGTACAAAATTTTTATTCTGTTATATTTTTAATTTTATTCTTTGTAATCTTCATTGTTTTATCTAAAAAATTTTAAAATAATAATTGTTTTAATAATTGTGTATTTGACTTTTAAATTATAAAAAAAAATACATTTTAACATATACAGTCGACCCCCCTATAATTACGGTCCCTATAGTTACGATTCCTATAAAACTACGAAAAAATTGCTACCGGTATCCGTAAAAAATAGTAAAAGTTCCCTATAAACACCTCAAACGTCATCGGGAAGCCGAACTACTTTCCCGCCGTCCGTAGCGCCACGCTACGGAGAGATTTCTATCGTCTGGACAGTATTATATAAATTATATATAAATTAGGTACTGTACATATAATTATATATTAATTATATATAAATTAGGTACTGTATATATAATTATATATTAACTTATTGTAACTTTGTTATAATTAAATATATAATTTCCGCCGTCTAGCGTGGCGCCACGCTACGGAGATTTTTACGCTAACTATCGTCTGTCAGTATGTAAATTAGGTACCGTAAGTCTAATACAGTACTGTAATTTTATACATTTCTTGT